TGCATGTCTTAATCCTCACATAATATATAGTTATTTTTCTGCGGTAACTGCTGTGTTTTGGGGGAGAAATTGACAAGGAGAATCTAAGAAATTGCATGGTCAAGTACATTTGGGCGCTCACTAAGTTTTGTGTTTGTTTTGCAAATTATTCAGCAAAATATATGACTAAAATCATAACCCTTTAAGTACCCTGAGCATTTCCTCAGATTTTGTTGTAAATGGAAATTCATTCATTCAGCAGACATGTCCTGGGTGTCTGGTGTGGGCTCTGCTTTATTCTAGGCACCGTGAGCATAGTGGGAGTGAGGGGTTCACCTTGCCTTCTGCCACGGAGCTTGTGTTCTAGTGGGTGAGACAGACAGTAAACCAGTACACAAAAGCACACGTGCACACATTCAGAGGGTGAAGACAGGGACTTGTAAGACCCTCATACCAATTCCTGTGTGTGTGTGTGTTGTGGGGGGCAGGCGGGGGGGCTTCCACTCTACCAGCAAGTCTGCGACACCAGCTGAGTATCCTACAATTCACCGCAATTCCAACACCATCTGTCTGAAATAATCAGATCCCATGGGTCCAGGCCTCGGTCCACAGACTGCCCTCACCCCAGCTCACCCCAACCCCGACTTCATGCCAGTGGCAAGTCCAGATTGTGGCCTGTGCTTCTGAAAGACCAGGCAGTAGATTGGAGGCGTCCACGACCCCCTCCTCGGGTTCAGTTACTTTGCTGGAGCAGCCTACAGGGAGAAACCTTTCAGTTACTAGAGTAAGCAGTAGTTTAAAATAAGAAGATTGTAAAAGAATGCACTTCGGGAAGAGCCAGATGGGAGAGACGCACAGTGCAGGGTGTAAAGACAGGACACGGAGCTCCGTGCCTCCCTGGGTTCACCCCGCCCCAGTTGCCACATGTTCAGCAATCTCAGAAGCTCTCTGAACCCCATCCTTTGGGTTTTCACAGAGACTTGGTAACATAAGCATGCTTGATTAAGTCATTGGCCACTGGGGATTGATTCAACCTTTAGCGCCTATCTCCTCCCTGCAGGTTGGGGGGGACTGAAAGTTCCAGCCCTCTAACCACGTGGTTGGGCTTCTAGGTGGCACTAGTGGTAAAGAACCCGCCTGCCAATGCAAGAGACATAAAGAGATGCGGTTCTGATCCCTGGGTTGGGAAGAGCCCCTGGAGAAGGGAATGGCAACCCACTCCAGTATTCTTGCCTGGAGAATCCCATGGACCGAGGAGACTGGTGGGCTATACTCCATAGGGTTGCAAAGAATCGGACACGACTGAAGTGACTTAGCACGCACATATAACCATGTGGTTGGTTCTCCAACAGAGATACCTTGGTCTCTCTCATCACTTAGGAAATTCCACGGGTTTTAGGAGCTGTGTGCCAGACTTAGGGACAAAGACCAAACATGTATTTCTTAATATAAACCGCAGTATCAAGTAACATGAGAGGGAGTATGCTGTGGTTTTAGGATAGCATTAGATCTGGTGCCCTGGGCAGGGCTCCCCAAGGAGGCCCCGTTTAAAAGGAGACCCAGAGAAGGAGAAGCAGGCCGCCTGGAGAGAAGTGCCAGGAGCCCCCAGATGGGGGCTCAACAAAGACAGAGGCTGTGAGTAGGGGGAAGGTTGGTGAGTTCAACGAACAACAGATGGGGTGAGCCCGTTGCAGGGCAGAGGCAGGGAGGGGCTGGGGGATGCTTACGGAGGTGGGTCGACAGTCTCGGGCCAGTGTAGACCTGGCAGGAGTCCCCACCTCTTAGGCACAGCAGGCAGGCAGTGGAGAATTTCAGGCAGGGAAGCGGCGTGTTTTAGGTTTTTCTAAGAAGACCTGGCAGCTCTGCAGAGAAGGGAGTGTGTGGTAGGAGGGAGGGCTAGGAAGCATCAAGCTATTGTGATGGACCAGGTGAGGGGGCAGAGAGGCCTGGGGTAGGGGTCGCACTGGAGATGGATGGGAGAGAAGAGAAACTCGTGGGCACAGTGGATATAGGATGGCTGATGGGGCTGGGGGTGGGACCGGAGTGGGACATGCTTTATCTTAGTGCAGTATAAAAACAAAGATGATGTGGAAGAGTCATTCGGGGCATCCACATTTCATTTGGTTCTCTATCCTGAATTTAAAGTCATTCCACATATTCAGCCTTACCGTGAAACTGAGCTTTTTCAACATAAATGCGTTTCAGAGACACTTAAGGCTCCCTTGCCTCTTACAGTTTGGCTGCAAAGAAATTAACTGAGAAGACTGCTAAACATTTGACCTTTGCTAGTTAAACTAAGTAATTTCTGCTAAAAGCATAAGGACTGGCATGACCTAAACTAGTTGGTTTTGCTAGTGGTTACTCCTTTTTCTACAGAAAGCTCAAGTTCCTTTTTACCTATGCAAAATCAGAAAATAGACAGACCCGCATTTAGAAGAAAATATGTAGTATTTTTGGATCTTTAGTCTTCTGTGAAGTCCTTAATTATGATAGGCAAATTCTGGGAGGGGTTAACCTCCCAAGCGATACACCAATACACTTGGCAGGTGCTTTGATCTCCCCACCCTTTGGCAGCTGACCCCATTGTCATTTTCATCTGACTTATCAAATCACCCCATGTGGCCAGCCTAGCAAATCATCAAGAAACCCGCCTCACTGCCCTCATCCTCCTCTGTGGAAGGTGGAAGGAGAGAGAAGAATGCACAGGAGAGATCATTAGCATATCTACGACTGAGGTATGGGGCCAGGGGTTTGAACATCAGTCGCTCCAAACGCCGCCCCCCGCCCCACTCCACTGCATCTCACCACCACCAGTCATTCATCCCTCACACAGAAGCCTTCAGAATAAGGTTGTGTTTGAATGAAGGGTACAACAGTCTTTTGAAGACTTAAATACAGTCTTCTAGGCAGTGGCAAGCTTGCCCACGGAGATGGTCCCGGCCCACATGATTCTGTCATTTTTGAGTCATTGATATGAGCTCAGCTTCACTAGCCGGTGAGTGAAACTCACATCCTGAATAACAGCCCGAAATTCCATCTTCCAGCTTCTGCCCACCACTACCCGGCCAGATGTTAGCAAGAATCTCTCCAAGGTCTGTCTGTCTTGTCTGTGAGCCTTACATGCCACAGGCCCTGGCAGTTCATGGGTTCAGTTCCTGATTTCTGCTGGTTTTTATCTCCACTGGCCACCTGCGATTCCGGACCTGGGCACTCCCCCTCTGGTTGTAGGGGAAATGTCTCCCTCTTCTCAGACTTGTCTCTCAAAGAGTGGAGCCACAGCAGAGCTGATCGGAGCCCCGAGGGATGCTGGGGAGAGGGGAGCACTGGGCCAAGCTGGGCTTGGGGACGAGGTTGTGGGGGGGTGGTCAGGCTTCAGCCTTTGACCCTGGGGTCCCACCGCTCCATCTGGTGCACCTGTTAGACTTACCCTCCCACCTGCTGGTTTTCATCCCCAGGCGCTGTTGCCTGGTTTCATCCATCAAACCATCTGGTCCATCAAAGCAGGGTTCACATTCTTTCCCAAAGGCCCTCGAGACTCCTCCCCGCCCCAGTCAAGCTGGAGGTCATGTCTGGACACAGGAGGGGTTCACCCCAGAGGCCCCAGACACCGCCGGGCAGTGGAGCGGGGTTGCTCCTTGGCACAGGGTGGCCTGAGTCCAGTTTTGGCGCATCAGGGTGATTTATAATAAGGGTGAAATCCTACTTGGAAGCAGAGAGATTATGTAAATCCATGTGAGAAAGGAGCTTCAAAGCTCACAGATCCGCTGCTGAGAGCCTCACCCTCTTTCTGAACGGCCTTTCTCAAGCGAGACCTTAGAGAACCCCAGGTAGGAACATGTGGCCCCCAGATGTCAGGAGGGATTTCCCTTGCCCCCACCTCTCCCTCTGTGGGGGGCTCCCCTGCCTGCCCCCAGAAGCCTCTCTGGGGAACGCTGGGGATCCTTTCTTGGAGCACGACTTGAAAATCACACTGTGATGTGAGATTGCAGCAAGGGAGACAGTTACATGCCCCAAATGTTCCCACCTCCCCAAGAGCCACATGGGGCCCCTCGCTGCTGGCTCTGCACCCTGCCCCACCTGCTCTTCCAGATCCAAATGTGTGCGGGAGGCCACAGGCCCTGATGGATGGTAGGCCCATCCTCCATGTGGCCACCGGCGTGTCTTCCTGAAATTCACATCTGACTCTCTCACTCCTTGAATTCCCTCGTAGGACGAAGCCCTTGGGCACTCAGTTCTTTGCTCATGGTTGTCCCTCCATACCAGTCACCCTTCTCTGCAGCTCCCCAGAAAATAGCCCTGCACCTCGCAGGCTGCTGGCACCCTCCCACTTCAGCCCCAGATTCAGGCTACACGACCTCGGAAAAACCTTCTCTCACTTCCTGCTTCTCAGTCCCATCCTCACCTCCAGGGGTATATGTCACCCTCCCCCTCTGCCCCAGATTATTGTTCAGCCTTCTGCATAGGGAACTTTCTGTCTGTCTGTCTCCTCCACTTAAATAGAAACTCCTTGAGGGCAGAGATGTTGGTGGGAGGGGGCTTATTCACTCTCCCAGGTGCATCTCAAGCCCCCAGAAGATGCTAATATGCAGAGGGCACCCAGAGTTTGAATGAATGAATCTTCAAGGTACCACAAGTGCACTTATTGAGATGTGAATGACAGTTATTAAACAAATCAGCTCCAAGTAAAAAAAAAACAACAGATCATTGGAAAAAAGCTTCACAGTTGCACGCCTTTCAGTAGTAACTCTATTCCAACGAGAGCTCAGGTTTTAAAGGCAAGTTTTCTTTGTGGAGGCAGCTGAAGCTTCTGCTGTTCTGTGCAAGTCTTTCCACCTGAGTGCCCGTGGCTGTGGCAGTAACGCATTTCAGGGTTGAGGGTTGATTGTATTCTTGGCACGGAATAGGTGAGAATCACAGGAGGGGGGTGTGTGTGGGTGCGGGTGTGAAGGTGTGTGTATGTATGTGTGTGACAAGTGGCTGGGTCTTAACAAACTGCTTACTTGGAAATTGTCTTTCTACAGGTGATGTATCACCAATCAGTATGTCTCCCATCAGTCAATCTCAGTTTATCCCACTCGGGGAAATCCTTTGCTTGGCCATTTCCGCAATGAACTCGGCCAGAAAACCTGTCACCCAAGAAGCACTGATGGAGCACCTGACCACCTGTTTCCCAGGTAACAGGAAAAGGGTGATGTACTTTCCAAATGGATGCATGCTCTGGCCGCCCTGGGGTTTATATGGACGCTTCATCCCATGATTAAATTCAGTAGAAAAAAAAGTCTTTGCCAAAACCGACCAGTAACTTTTCTTAGCTCTGCAATTAAAAAATCAAGTCTTCAGCGTTACTTCAAAAATAATTTGCCACCTTCGACTGTAGTAATTTTTCATTGGCACCGAGGGCAAGAAACAAAATCAGAATCTGCAAAGAATTCTGTGAAAACTGCCATAGTTCCATTTAACCTTTACAGCTTGACCTTCCTAAAGTATGTGAGCATCTTGATTCATGGCAAGTTTTGTTTCCTGTCTGCTTTCCTTCTTTTCTTCCTTTCTTATCTCCCTTCTTTTTTCTTTTCTTCCTTTGATTTTCTGCTTTTCTTTTGGTGTCATTTAAGCTACTTCAGAACGAACAATTTAGAAAGCTTAATACTCTTCAAATTCTATTTGAAAAATGCATTTCAATGACAGTTCTACAACTTTGGAGGGATTTAACTATCATATTTATATTTTTGTTTTTTAAAGCTAAGACTATTTACTTTTTCATAGTTTACTATTTGAGAATATAAAGTTTTGAAGTCTAACTGAATATTATTAAAATATTCAAACTTTTCTTTTTAATGCATATGTTATAAGTAGAAAAAGTAGTCTAGATTTTGACCTCTATTCCTGTTTGGGACATTCACATTCTAAATAGTTTTTAGTAAGAAGTCTTCTAGTGAAAATATCTATAGGCTGATACTTAAGCCGTTTTATCATGCTTCTGTATTGCTTGAATTTTTGAAAACAACTTTTATATACCAGTTCGCATTACAGAAATATGGATAGTTTTAAAAAGATCTGAAAAGAATAATTATTGCTTTTCAGCTTTCTAAATAGGTCTGCATACTATTATATGTAGAATGGGTAAACAACAAAGTCATACTATATAGCACCAGAAACTATTTGGTCTCCTATGATAAATCATAATGGGAGTGAATATAAAAGAGAATATAAAAAACTATATATATATATATATATATATATGTATATATATGCTATATATATATATACATATATATATATTTAACTAAATCACTTTGCCGTAGATCAGGAATTAATGCAACATTGTAAATCAGCCAAACTTTAATTAAGAATAAGTAAATAGGTCTTCATCCTTCCAGAATGATCAGTTAAATTGGACCAGCACATGTTAAGCTGTTACACATGGATCTTCTTGGGAGGAAAGTGACCTTCAGGGGAGTAAAATTAGACCTATTAAGACAGCTTATGGACTTGAAGTTGACTTTGGAGTTTGCTGGAGACTGTTGACATTATCTATACTGTATTCTGTCTCCAATTCATCCCCTTAAATCGCTTCCTACTGAATTCTCCCTTAGCCAGTGCCCTTCACGAACACAAAGAAATCATCCCAAGAAACCCATTAAGTTTTCAGTCTAAAATTCTTACTGTACAGAACATGAACATGAACATGTGTGCTCTGTTCCAACAGTTGTCAGATTTGCAAGATTAAAGCAATATATGTCTAAGTAACCTCCCATTGGCATGCGGTATATTTAAGTAGCTATTTTTGCTTTGGGAGATGGAAAGATATGGACAAGGAGAAAGATCAGATTCCAGCCCTATTTTAATATAGAGCTTACCTTTGCCCTTTACACCAACAGAATCTGAACTCATGATGAACTTTGGGACTGGAATCTGGACGTGATGGAATATGCAAACCTTGACAGTCTCCATCACAGCCATCCCTTTACAAGTGAGCCTACAGATTTCTAGTGGAACCCTGAACTTCATAGATAATTGGAAATATCTGTCATTATACTTGGGCTTAAGAGTAACATAAAAATCATAGATATCAGTGACTTTCAGCTAAAGCTTTCAAAACTCTCAGTTAAAGGTATAGAAAACGGATTGGACAGGGAATGTTTCTACTTGGTTTTTTCCAATTAAACATTATTTGATTGATGTACTTGAAAATCCACATCAAAACTTTAGCTGTAAATTATCTCTGGAAACTCTTTCTTATTACTTCATTTGTGAACAATCAGAAAGCGTGTTCTTCCTGGTGAGTAGACATGATTACATTGTAGTCATGATTCCGTGTAGTTTCCTGAGTTTTCTAAGATCAGCACTTGGAAGGCCTCCAATCAGCAGATTCTATAATACAATGAAATTTTTGTCTTATAGCTATAATAGCTATAGCTATTTTTGTTATAATAGCTGTTTTTATGAATGACCCTTCAGCTTTCCTTTACTGTAATAGCATAATAAACTTGTCAATCATGAATTCTTCTAAATGAGGCTTACCGTTTTTTTAAAAACTTCTGTTAACAATGTTGATCGAAAGTACGCTACCATGTAGGACAGAGTCAGTTTCAAATATGAGTTTGTCATCTGGGTGCTGTGGTTCACAGCTTTAGTGGTTGTCATTTGTGAGACTCTAATGTGAATAATGTCTTATCCTGAAAGTTGTATTCTATGTGGCTGATGCCCCCTGAAGTTATTCAGCAGAACTAGAATAGTTTGTAGGGCTACTCACAGGGCATATAAGCCAAGTTGTTCCTCTTCTGTGCAAGCATTTTCTGTTGTGTGTTGGCTCTCACGAATTGCAAATATATGGCTTGGGTTACAACCCAATTCAGTTGCAACTCATTCTTGTTTTGAACAGAAACTATCATACAGTGTTTTAAAAATTTTTTGATATTATATCAGCCTTAATAACCAACATACATTTGCATAAAAATCAGCATACATTTCTCAAAAGGAGAGCCTTAAACAAAAAGGAAACCATGTTGCTCAAAAATTAAATGATTATGTTAAACAATACATCATTCAGAAGTAGTGTTAACCTTTTCTGCCTTGGTCATGAAGGGTGCCTTCTGAAGCGTGTGTGTGTACTAAGTCGCTTCAGTCATCTCCAACTCTCTGCCACCCCATGAACTGTAGCCCGCCAGGCTCCTCTGTCCATGAGATTCTCCAGGCAAGAATACTGGAATGGGTAGCCATTCCCTTCTCCAGGGGGCCTTCCTGACCCAGAGATGGAACTTGGAACTGTTACGTCTCTGAGTATGTAGGTTCCATCGTACATGGACTGTCTCCCCTTGAGAATTGCAGGCCATTTCTAGTGTTTTTGTATTTTACTTTCATAGTTTTGGAAGGACTGGGGGAGCCTAAACTTCTCAGCTTACCCAGTTATTCTTGGCGGTTACACAGTGTTCTTTGGTGGTAATCCGAGTTTCCATGGGTCCTGACCCAAAGTTGAGACTACTGATAGCTAATATTTGTGAGCACTCCCTGTGTCAGGCACTATTCCACATACATTAAACTCATTTAAACTCTGCATCCCTCTGAAGATAGGTACTATTGCTGTCCTGCTTGCCTGGTGCCTCAGACAGTGAAGAATCTGCCTGCAGTGCGGGAGACCTGGGTTCTATTCCTGGGTCAGGAAGATCCCTGGAGAAGGGAAAGGCTACCCACTCCAGTATTCTTGCCTGGAGAATCCCATGGACAGAGGAGCCTGGTGGGCTGTCGTGCATGAGGTTGCAAAGAGTTGGACGGGACTGAGCAACTAGGCACGCACAGACTATTATTGTCCACATTTTGATGACAGTAAGTCAAGGCTCAGAGTGGTTAAGCAAGCTGCCTCAGCTGTAGTAGTTCTCTAGAGCAGTCTTAACAAAGTACAGACATCTATTGTCTTACAATTCTGGATGCTACAATTCCAAGATCAACATATCGGCAGGGTTGGTTGGTGTCTTCTGAGGGCTGTGACAGAAGAATCTGTCCCAGCCTCAAACTGGGGCTAGTAGTTATCTGCCTTCTACCAGTTCCTCTTCTCATTGTGATATCTCTGTGTCCACATTTCCCCTTTGTAGAAGGACACCAGACATAGTGTGTCGGGGCTCACTCTAACGACCTCATTTTAACTTGGTTATCTCTAAAGACCCCATGTCCAAATAAGGTAACATTCTAGGCTACTGGGGATTAGGACTTACATATGAATATGGGGGGCAGGAGGACTCACACTTAATTCAGCCAGGAACATCAGCTACCAGTGGCGAAGCTGGAGTTTGGATCCTTGCAGTCTGACCCAAGAGCGCGAGCTTTCAGTCTCCCCTGAAATTGCCATTTTTGTGGGTCAGACACAGTTGAATATTGCCAGGATGATTCCACCTGACCTATTTCCAAATGATATCATTCAGGTCAGTCTTAGAAATATGATCACCCTTGATTTGTCTGGCACTGAGGAAGGGAGAACATTAAAGAAATTAAGTAAACATGCTATAGCCTGGAGAATTTATACTCTCTTAAGAACGTATGTTCTTAATTGTCTCTTAAGGTAGTCGGCACTTAAATGTACACACAAAACTCTGAAAACAATCACTGTTCAAAAGAGTATCTGTGATTTTCTTCTGGAAAATCTATTCTAACGAATACAGCAGTTGAGACTCAGTGGTCAGATGGATGTAAGAGCCTCTAAGCTTTCACTGGTGTGTTTATGAGAGCTCTCTGGCTATGAATTTGAAAAATTCATTTTGTTGCCACCTTCCTTTTGCTGGCTTATGACAAGAAGGAAGAAGGTCTTACCTAAATATCACCAGTGCTGTAAGCACATTCAAATTTGAAGATGATGATTTCAAAATTGGAGAGTACATCCTAAACAATGGTCAAGTCTAGTTGCCCTTTTATATAATTTATAAAATTAAGTTTATTAAATAAGCTTAATCTTGGAATGAGAGTATGGAGCAACTTCAAGTGTATGTGGTAGCCTCTACATATTTTAGATTTCTTTTCAATACCAAGATAGCTCTCTTAACCCTGATTTCCTAGCTGCTTTTATTCAAAGTCTTTTCTGTAAACTTACAATATACTGAAAATGTTTTTTTCTTCACTTAAGGATATTCTGTCTTTAGGGCATCCCTGGCAGTCCAGTGGTTAGGACTCTGCACGTCCATTGCAGGGGGTCTTGGGTTTGATCCCTGGTAGGCGAACTAAAATCCCTCATGCCATGCAGGGCAGCCAAAAAAAAAATTCTGTATTGAACAATTCAGTTCAGTAAAGTTTTATAACAACAGTAGCCACCTAACTCCATCTAGCATCCATTTCTCTCTCTTCCAGCTTTTGTCTTTTCTTGTTCTGTTGGTAGTACAATTCCATAAGAATTATCAGAGAAAACCAGGATTCATGTTAAACTTGACGAACACCTTTGAATCCTGTTTAGTTGCTGTATGATGATACTTAGAAGCTGGGCAAAATTAACAGGATTCTGTCTTCGTCCATGTGGACTGCTGTAACAAAATACCATGGACTGGGCAGCTGAAACAACAGATATTTATGTCTCACAATTCTGGGACTAGAAAATCCAAGATAAAGGCACCTGCAGATTTGGTGTCTGGTGAGAGCCTCCTTCCTGATTGGCAGACAGCCATACCCTCACATCACGGGGAGAGAGCTCTAGTTTCTTCCTGTCCTCATAAAGGCACATCATGGAGGCTGCAAGTTCATGACCTCATCTGAACCTAATCACCTCCCCCAAACTCCCACCTCTTAGTAGCATCACCCTGGGGATTAGGGCTTGAACATGGGAATCGGTTTGGGAGGGGGTCACCATTCAGTCCATAAGCAGAGTCAAAACAGTCCAGAATCAACCGCACCCCGCTCCTTCCGTTCTCATGAGTGTGTGCTTTGGTTTCAGGTGTTCCCACCCCAAGCCAAGAAATTCTCCGGCACACGCTGAACACGCTGGTCCGGGAGAGGAAGATCTACCCGACTCCTGATGGCTACTTCATCGTCACCCCACAGACTTATTTCATAACTCCTTCCCTCATAAGAACTAACAGTAAATGGTACCATCTGGACGAGAGGATACCTGATCGGTCTCAGTGTACCTCTCCCCAGCCGGGGACCCTCACGCCCTCTGCCTCAGGCTGCGTCAGGGAAAGAACGTTGCCCAGGAACCACTGCGACTCCTGCCACTGCTGCAGGGAAGACGTGCATGGCATGCACGCGGCCACCCTGCAGAGGAAGCCTGCCAAGGACTGCAAAGACCCTTACTGCCCTCCTTCCTTCTGCCAGGTGCCAGCCACTGAAAAGAGCAAAAGTACTGTCAACTTCTCCTACAAAACGGAAACCCTGTCCAAACCGAAGGACGGCGAAAAGCAGTCCAAGAAATTCGGGCTCAAGTTATTCCGGCTCAGCTTTAAGAAGGACAAGACCAAGCAGCTAGCCAACTTCTCCGCCCAATTCCCTCCCGAAGAGTGGCCCCTTCGAGACGAGGACACGCCGACCACCATCCCTCGGGAGGTGGAGATGGAGATCATCAGGCGTATTAACCCGGACTTGACCGTGGAAAACGTCATGCGGCACACTGCGCTGATGAAGAAACTTGAAGAAGAGAAGGCGCACCGGAGTAAAGCCGGGTCCTCCGCCCATCACAGCGGAAGAAGTAAAAAGAGCCGGACTCACCGCAAGTCCCACGGAAAGTCTCGGTCGCACAGCAAGACGCGAGTGTCCAAGGGAGACCCATCCGATGGTTCCCATCTGGATATCCCGGGCGACAGGGAGTATGATTTTTGCGACCCTCTTACCAGGGCCCCCCGGGAGGGCTGCTTCATCATTGAACACAAAGGTGATAACTTCATCATGCATAGCAACCCGAACGTGATCGAGTCTCATTTCCCCATGACCCCAGAATGGGACGTGTCTGGGGAACTGGCCAAAAGGAGGACTGAGATGCCTTTTCCTGAACCTTCCAGGGGAAGCTCCCACTCAAAAGTGCACCGAAGCCACAGCCATACCCAGGACCGAAGGTCCAGGAACGAGAGATCCAACAAGGCCAAGGAGAGGTCCAGATCGATGGATAACTCCAAAGGCCCTCTGGGTGCTTCTTCTCTGGGGACGCCTGAAGACCTGGCCGAAGGCTGTAGCCAAGATGACCAGACCCCCAGCCAATCCTACATTGACGACAGTACTTTAAGGCCTGCACAGACTGTCGGTCATCAAAGGGCTCACGTTTCCTCCGCAAGCTATAAAGAGGTGTGTATTCCAGAAATAGTCAGTGGCAGCAAGGAACCGCCCAGCGCTTGTAGCCTCTTGGAGCCAGGCAAAGTGCCCGAGAGTTTGCCATCCTTCGGTGAACTCAACTCTTGTCCAACAAAGACGGCTGCAGATGACTATTTCCAGTGCAACACCTCCAGCGAGACGGTGCTCACGGCGCCGTCACCTCTGGGAAAGAACAAAGAGGACCATGACACTCTGACCCTGGCGGAAGGGGTGAAAAAGCTGCCGCTGTCGGACAGGCAGGCCCCTCATTCCTCCAGGGAGCCTGCGGGGCACAAGGAGGAGTCGCCGAAGGGGCCGGGCGGTGGCCCAGTCACTCCAGGCGCCGTAGTCGAAGGCCTTGCCAACGGACGCCTCATCCAGCATCACGGCGCCGAGCCCAGCACCCTGGACAAAAGGAAAGAGATATTCAGCAAAGACACACTGTTCAAACCTCTTCACAGCACCTTGTCTGTAAACAGCTATCACAAATCAACCCTGTCCCTCCTCAAATCGCACCCGAAGACCCCTGCCGACACACTGCCAGGCCGATGCGAGAAACCGGAGCCGTCCCTGGGGACCTCGGCCGCCCCCGCCCTGCCCGCTTCCCAGCGTCAGCCGGAGTCAGTGGGGAACCAGGAGGCCTCTTTCGACTATTACAACGTGTCTGATGACGACGAGTCTGAGGAAGGGGCCAACAAGAACGCGGAGGAGGAGAAAAACAGAGACGATGTAGGGACCATGCAGTGGCTCCTGGAGAGGGAGAAGGAGAGAGACTTGCAGAGGAAATTTGAGAAGAACCTCACCCTGCTCGCCCCAAAGGAAGCCGACAGCAGCAGCAACCAGAGGGCCACCCACTCCGCACGTCTAGACAGCATGGACAGCAGCAGCATCACGGTGGATAGTGGATTCAACTCCCCACGGTAGGGAGAGGTGGCTGTGTGCACACACATACATCCACCGGGGCCTGGGGCTTTATGCAGATTAACTCAAAGAGTTTCTAATTTCAGTCTCAGTTCTGTGAAAGAGGGTGAAGTGTTGTGTGAGTTGTATTGTTAACAGCCTGTTTCTGACTTCTTTTTCAGGAATTGAAACAAATGTTTCTGCAGCTGTAGAGATCACCAATCTGGACTGGTGGGTTGGTTCCTTCCCGTCCAATCTAAGACCAACATTTCCCAAGTATTTCGATGTTGATATTGCCACCACGCTGATAAAGGAAGGGTTGTTGGGTTGTTTTTTTTTTTTTTCCTTTAAGTCCTTCAAAAAATAGTCGCTTTTTGAGTAAAGTAAGTAGTCAGTGTGAGGGTGGGAGGTAGGGGTTGGGAATAACTTGATTGACTCAGAGATAGGGAATCCACCTAGTGAGAATATAATAGCTCATCTCACAACCTCTGCAGTGGATCTAGAAGCTTGTTATCATCTCAACCCTGACTTTCTGTGCAGCCTGCACCTTTTGCTCTCATACACCTTCCTCTCACCACTCAAAAGTCTGCAGGCACGTCGAACTGGTCCTGTCCCAGGAAGACTGGGGGCCTGTGCTCTGTTAGATCGAAGTGCATGCCAGCACTTTCTTTTCTCCTCCTGCAGAATGGGCGCTGTTCAGGCACGCCGATCGTGCTGCCTTCTTTTTGGTAGGTGCTGGTAATTCAGCAGAGGGTTAACAGCTGAGTGTGTAGTGCCCAGTGGCCACAGCCAGGGCACTGAAGTGGTTCAGGGGGTTAGGGAGCAAAAGGGAGTCTATGCCACTTTCCTTTTTTTCTCCTTAATGCTTCCTTCTCTTCCACAAGCGACTTGGGACCTGACTCTCCTTCTGAATTCTACTCCAGATTGGTGACTCTGAGATGCAGAAATACTGTTGAGAGATTGACCTCTCCCATTAGTTGTGATTCCCAACTTTTCATAGTATTTTGTATTTGAACAAGTCCAAGATACAAATATGTATTTCTTATATTTATATTTATTTTAACGATTAAGAATTAAAATTAGTTGCATTGTAATCCTTTGACTCTGTCTCTGGATAATTTGGAGACAGAGCATCCCAAAACCAGAACTGGGAATCATTCACCTGTTTGTCCCGTATTAGACCTTGGCTATTTCTTAAAGGGCTAGTTCTTTATTACCATTATTATTATTGTCAAGTAACATTTCTTTTCCAAGTTAACACGTGTGGAAGTCTTATATCTAAACAAACCACAGAGATGGCACCCTGGTTAACGTGGAAGCCAGGATCTCCATGTCTCCTCTGCCCACCCTCGGGGACCTTAAAACCTGAGGGGGCCATGACACTCAGTCTGCAGACTACTGGCCTGTTAAATAAGTTTGCTAAGAAATAATTTTTGCTAAATGTTTTGTTATCCCAAATGAAATCTTAATTTATATACCAATTGTTTTATATATTCTTTCTCTCTGCTTCCCTCTTCTATTTTCATTTTTCCTCTTGATTTCCTAGTAGGGGATAGCGGATAAGCATAACTAAGTCTGCCGTTGGTGGTAGACACTCACTACCGTTGCTTATGGAAGGTGTGGGTTATTGGCCTGGACCTCCTGCCCTGCTCTTTCTTATTCTGTGGGCTCTCCCTGCTCGATGCCTCTCCACACCAGTTTCCAGCTCTTCACGGGGCACTCTTGGCCGCTAGACCTCCACGGAGGGAAAACCACAGTGCTCCAGATATAGTTGCAAGGGGGACATTGAGAGTTTAGTGGGTTCTGACTCAAAACCTGACCACTGCATAATATTGAGTTTTTTTTGTATGGGGGCAGGTTAACAGAAATGTTCATGTAATTGTTGAACCAGTCTCTCCACAGAATATATTTTATTATCTCTAAATTAGGAGTACAGATTATGGAGTTGATGAACAGGATCATGTCTTGAACAAAGCTTATTTGCATTGCTTTAATAGTGTACTCAGGGTCAAATGTGCTGTCCTGATAGGTTGTCCTAAGGAGATGGTCTTCAGTCAGGAGCTCTCTGCCCTGTTACTAATAGGATTTTCTTTATGGGAATATGGAGATCACCCATAAATGTCATGCAGTTAGAGAATCTACAGAACAATTCCTGATCACACCCCTTTTGTTTTTCATATCCTTTGGTTAGAACCTGGGTGACAAACTTATTTTCGATATTTACTTTTAAATTATATTTCTCCTCTACTTCGATAAATTTACTCCGTTACCTTTCCGATGCGTGAGGATTGTCTGTGAAGGAGAATATTTGAGTTACAGGGAGTTTTACTCTCCAGTGTAAGGAGTCTTTTAGCCAAATAGCACTGTCATGCTGACAAGGCTCCACCGTTACAGATACAGGAATCCTCAGGGGGCCATTTATTCAGATCTTTCAGTGAACGAGCTCAGTGAGCAACAGAGGTCCAACCTGCGCCACCAGCCCACTCCCCCCTGCAAAAAAAAGGTGGTCTCCACACTGTCGCGTCTTCAGTGCTGACTCAGAAGTCGTGTTCGGCCACATTTCCAAAATGCTTTAGTCCCCTTTAGTCAGGAAGATCCCCTGGAGAAGGGAATGGCAACCCACTCCAGTATTCTCGCCTGGAAAATCTCACGGACAGGGGATCCTGCCGGGCTACAGTCCGTGGGGTCGCGAAGAGTCGGACAAGACTGAGCGACTAACACTTTCACTTCAAAGTGCATTGAGCAAAGGATACAAAGTAGACATTTAAACTATGCTGTGAGATCGAATATTGCAAATGAAGAATCCTGTCATGCAAAGCCTGCTGTTCCAGAGTTGAGGCTGAAAACCTGTTGATAAACGCAATATGAGAATCAGAGGGCTCCAGGCCGCCCAGTACGTGTCTGATGTGTCCTGTGCTTTCCAAGTGCGGGCCCAAGGGGGGCGCATGCAGGACATGGAACAGCAGGGCCTCTTGGTTCAGTTCTTCTGCCTATAAAATTCTGAGATTTTATTTTTAAGGTTGCACTCCATTAGCTCTCTTTAAAAAAAATGTGACATTTTAAATGTGAGGACTGTTGTTACTGCTCACCCTCCATCTCCATGAGTTGTTTCATCATCATATCCACAGCCTTCCATTTGACTGTCAAACACTGTATGCAGTGTCACAGTAGTAATGAGATATATCCTTTGGAGACACTGGAATGCCCCGTTGTGTTTATCACTATTAACATGTTGGCCATGGTCAAAGGTAGTCCGAGGAATCTTAGAGCATGTGTAGCTCCTACCTTAGGCCATCTGTTGCAATGATGTGTGTTGATGGTACCTGACATGCAGTAGGGACTTGATAAGTTAACTTCCCACCTCAAAAACTGGTTTAAAAGTGGATTCCTTGGACCTCAAAATGCAGTTTCCCATGGGGGAAAAAAAAGTCACTAGTAATACATAGATTCCCAAGCCTCCCCACGGAGACTGATTTTTTTCATGAGATGCCAGACATACAACAGAGATAACTCCCCGCATTTGTCTAGCTTTTGCGTGTACAGATCTTTCCTGGTTGCTTATTTCTTCTTCTGAGTCACTCACTGAGTATGTACAGCACATAACTCGCCCTGCTTTAAAGATGAGGAAATCAAATGCCCTAAAAAGTTACTACTGTGATTATGAATGAAACCAAACGAACGTGTCACGACCTCTCTGGGGTTCTGCATGTTTATGTCCTTTTTCCTTCCTCCACCTGACTCTCAGTTTTAGTCCTGGAAAAACACTGATGGATTTTCTTAGAGGAGGTGTAAGGCAGGTAAGTAGGTAAGTCTAGAGTTTTCCATCACTTTAGTGATGATATTTTGGAGTATTCCTTAGATATGCCCAGATTGACCATAAGCATCATGAAAGAACTTGATTTACTTCTATGAAGATATGAACCCTCTGGAGGTACCCTCTGCAGTCAGGAAGCATACGTTGTCTTTTTTGGTAGTCGGTGAACAGACTCCCTTTTAAACAACTAAGTCTTGGCTTTTTGTTGAGAAGCAAGCTTAAAGCCACAAAGGGTCAGGGTGAAATGCCCTGTCAGACATGGCTACCAAGGTATAATGCTCAGACAGACTCGCTATGAGTTTTGGATGAGGATGAAAGCCAGGTGGTGAGGATGTCCACTGGGTAGTTTGACTTTAAATCAGTGATGGGGACCAACATGTAAGAATATTTTATAAACCTTGAATCTATCCAATAGGGTGGATGTTTTGAGCATCATTATGGTTTCTTCTACATCTTTGTGAGCTGGTAAGTTTTGTATCACCGTTTTGAGGACCTAGAACACAAAAACTCACTCATTTCCCATCAGTCAGGCCAAGTCATCTTATTTCTGTCATCGTCCTACACATTTGACATGTTAAATGTTATACACCTCTTGGGACAATAAAATAGATTTAAGTATTTCTAAATTAGAAAAAAGAGAAATCGAAATACTAGGAGCTTTTAAATCACCTCTAAAGATTCCTTTAAAAAATTAAATATTTCTACCAAAGTGGAAGAAGGGAGGAAATAAATGTAAATAGAGAAAACCTTAGATTCCTTATCTGGAAATAGAATATACATAAATTAAAGTGTTATGTATTTGAAACAGAGTATGACGTCATTATGGATTTGAAACAGAGGTATGACGTCTTTAAAAAGAATGTTATTCCCATCACTGCTGCAAATTGGCTAGTGTCCTGCTTGAAGTTCACCTCCAGAGTCAAAAATCTACTAAGCGAGAATGAAAACAGAATCATTAGGATAAAAGTGTGCAGTTGATTCAGGAGCAATTCTCTCCATGAATTTTGGGCCTGAAATGAAATCATTACCTATGTATAATTTACAAAGACTAGTCTTTATAAAAAAGGAACATGAGAGCCATCTATCACATCAGATTTTGAAGGCGTTTCCTTGAATATGAAAGTCTAGGGAAGACATGTATTTAGCTGTATGAAAACCTTTTACTCAGCGTGCTGCTGATGATAACATGTCTTGTGAAAAGCTTCTGGAGTCCAAGTTGCTGGAGCATATGTGAATAATCAGTATGAGATGCTATATACATGACATGATAAACCGCCAGAGGAAATCCATTAACTCCATCATTTGCTCTTCCTCTAGGGCTCAATATATAATTATTTATGTTAAAAACCAAACCAAACAAAACCTTTTTACTCTTGTAGCACTCGGGAGAGCCTGGCTTCCAACACATCAAGCATTGTTGAAAGTAACCGTCGTCAGAACCCTACCTGGAGCCCGGCCCACGGTGGAGCTGGCCCGGCCTTCAGTTTCCGAGCAAGTACGGACCCCCCCACCAACGAAGCTGAGAAATTACAGAAACCTTCCAACTGCTTGCAAGCTTCTGTTACTAGTGTGTGATAGTCATCCTGCCTCCGATCTCCCGTCTCATTCGATACAGCCAAGTTTACGACACTGTGGCTGGTGTTTACATCTTTGGAAAGACAAGCATCTCAACGGCAGTTTTTGTGTTGACTTAAACTGTGCTGCTAAGTAGGCTAGGGCAAAAAACAACAACCGAAAAATCTTTATTTCAGAGTATTGCTTTTCACATTTATGGCTCTGTAGCAACAAGAATAGCAGTAGGGTGATATGTACACTTTTGCTTCACTAATTGTAACTGAGCACACATATGGAAGTCTAGACACTGTAAGTGTAATATGCATTTTCGATGTCTTGCAGTTGCCAAGTCCATTCTAAAATGCCACAGATGCGTGTTGCTCCCAGTCTGTGACCAGATGGTGCCACAGAACTGATCCTTGACACTTCCAAAAGAAAAAAAAAAAAGATAACTAAGCCACCACAAAATGTCAAATGCAAGGGTCTACCTTGAGGGAAATTGATGCCAAAATGACTAAAAGGGACCCCAGCCCTTTGTGTGTGAATCATTGAGGCCCCGGTCATTTTGCACTGTGAGTTTTTTTGACACGATTTTGTATAGGAGCCCACGGAAGTGTGTCAGAAGGGGTCGTGATCCAAATACTGGGAGTGTTTGTTTTCGGGATTTTGTTTTTTAAGTGTCACAGATGCTTGTCTGATATGTTTAACCTTCCATCATCACAAACAGGAATATAGGCCTTTGAATCTGAAATGGACAAAGGAAGGGTCCCCCAGCCTGGCTGGGGCACAGCGCTGAGCAATGGGAGAGGTAATGCGGACTTCTAAAAAGGTGTTCATCAGATAGTGAAGGAAGAGCATTTCTTCCTTGTGAGACTTAAGGGTGATGCTATCTTACTATCAGAGATAAATGGTAATTAGTTTGTTTAAAAGCAAAATGTTCTTTGTGATACAAATGAAGACTATGGCCTGGGGACGTTATTCTTTCTAATGGAAGGACATAAATCTATTTTATGTAGTTTTAAATAGAATGCCTAAATTAGGCTGTGGGAGATAATTTTTAGTGGTTATAGGAAAGAGCAAATTTAGGGAGAGTTGAACTTCAGGCCTTTTATTCCTGGGAGGATATCTATAGAGAAAACTTTAAAATACTTTTTCATTAGAAATATACGTGTGCCCATGTAATTAACAACAGAATGTGATCATTCTGCAAGTGTGGTGGAACCCTAACTGTACGCCCCCTAAATTTATCAGAATAACAATTATGCATACATGAACTATGCCAGAGTAATGTTTACAGATACTTTGTAACCAATTTCAGGAGGCATTTTTAGGTGGATGTATAGTATAGTTTTTAGCCCAACTTATTTCAGGATGGTTTGTTAATTACATTTTGCTTTGGTTTACAATGTCATGATGACTACAGAGAAGGTTCTCAGCAACAAAGGGATTACAAATAATCAAGATTCAGTTCTCTAGGGAAGGATGTCTCAAAAGTTCCCATGTCTCATTTTAGGAGAACCATGGAATAAATCTGTAGATAATGGAAATTTATTCACAAAAGGATTTCATTTGATACCAGTAAATGGTCTGACCAAAAGTTTTATTTAGCTGAGTGGCATGTGATGTTTGGAGCCATATACCATAAAATAAATACCCCAAAATAAATCTAAAATATTTTCACCTCGGATTTCAGGAATTGGCATAAATTGGCGAAACACTCCTGCTTCAGTATTAGGTTGAGTCACTAGCCATCTGTTTAAAGAGTAGAGTCTTTAAATAGACACAGTTGGGCTGTTTCTTGAAACATTTAGAGACTCTCTCATGCTTTTTCAGATAGCTGGAAGTTTCATTGGGTCAAACTGGACTCGTCAAGTTTAGTATAGTTTCCTTTCTTTGTGCTTATAGTGAAACGTGAGCACGTTTCTTGGCAAACTCCCACACCTTTAAAATGCTTCTGTTGTTGGCTTTCAATCTCCTGCTTTATTTCCTCCAAGGCATGCCTTGATTGCTCAGAAATGCACTCTTGTCTCACTGCTTAAATTTGTCCAGAAGGAATGATGACGTATCCAATAGACTATACAGAGTCTGTGTCCTTGGGGAGTTGTATACCACACAGTTACTAAATTCTTCTGTCTAAATTCTCTTTTTCTCACCCCTAAACCTACCCTCCAGCGTGAATCATACAATCAGTTCATAAATAATAGAACAACTGAAACAATACATCAGCCTCTAGTTGATCCTCCTAAAGTAGCCATTAGAATAATCAAATACTGTGTGAACAGGAAAGAAAGCATTACCTTTAAAGAGAAGCTTTAAAATATGAATTTATCAATATTTCACAAGAAATAGGTTTACAGAAGACATTTGAATAAAATGTGTACACTCTTTGCCCGATGCTATGGGGTACATGATTTAGGGAAGAAAGAAAAAAAAAAAAACTCCCTTAGACCAGCAGCCATTAGCATAGAAATGATGGACTTCAAGGAGGATATGGTGTGAGCAGACGTTCCATGCAGATACATGCCCATCTGAATCGAATTGGGATGCCTGAATGAATGGGGGAGAAGAGGGGGCTGGAAGCACGTTACGAGTATGACCCCAGATGGTCTGTGGTGATGTTCTCAGTAACCCGCTCCAAGCTTTGCCAGCATCCTTTTCCTCCGGTGAAACCATCGCTTTGTGGCCACGGCTGCTTACCTAGACTTCACTTAGAGTTTATCAACTGAAAGGTTTACAAAACTGAATCTGGTTGAATCTCTGTGTAGTGAGTGTTCAACTTTAAAGGGTCAACCCATCTGTCGGCATTTTGCACACTTATGTATTATTATGATACAGCATATTACTTTATGGTAATTTTTATTTTTACATATAACTACCTCCATAAATTTGATGAAGCGGCCGCAGTGCGTTCAAGTGTATTGTTTGGAAAAGCAAAGTTGACAACGTTCTTAACCATTAGGCCATGGCATTCTCTGTGTGTGTCAGTGGTTGCCTGTGTGGACTCGTGACTGTCTCATTGCCATGGTTTTTCTTTGATGGCATTATCTCACTCTCAGCTGTAAACCCGTCTCTCTTCTTTCCCACAGAAAGCACTTGATTTTGTTATGAATGAAAAGCTTAAATTTCTTGTCTCCCCCGCCCCTGCCCCCACCTCATTCCTGCTAAGAGCTCTCTCTGGCCAAGAGCCAGTTGGTAAACATAATTTAGCAAGCTATTTACTCCTATGAAAATCTGATTTGAATTCTAGGTTTTCCGTCATAAGACACACCAGAAATTTGGACTGTCGACTTTGAAGCACTTTGGGCCTCTCTGCCTTCACTTGCATGCTACCGTATCGAGCCCAGACTTCATTGGAATTAAAAGAGCTGTGCTTTGTATCCACAACTTCCGTTCCATAATTTGTATTTCATTTTATATATTTTGCACATCTCAGGGGACCTTCATAAGCATATGAAAGGGGGGGGTGCCATCAAATAGAGAAAACGGGAAAAGCTGAAAGAGGACTCGCTGGTGAAAGTAATAAATGACTGCTTCTCTGATGTTGTGAAGTTCAAGTTCAGGAAGCATCCAGTGAAAGTTAATCTGGAATCACAACAATCTGAACACCAGCTGTTCCTCAGTCTCCCTTTTTCATAATCCAACCAGCATTTCTAAAATGTAAGTTTAAATTATATTGCAGTCACTATGGGGAGGAAAAAAAGAAAAGAAACCTGTTCAGCAGCAATGAAAGCATGTTTGTTTTTTAGGTTGGCACAGCTTTGTAAAATTCTACCCAGGACAAACCACTTATCACCACAAAGTGTACTTGAAAATAAAGTTTTTAACTTAAATGATAGGCGTATTGCTCACCATACAGTAGTGATCTTGATTTGAAAAGCCTCACAATTTATAACATGGGCAGTGTTTGGAGCTTGATTAAAAACCAACAACCCGTGAGCACTTCGCACATTCATTTCGGGATCTCAAAGTGCTTCCAAAGCATTCGGATTCACAGTTCACAAAGCAGGTCCTATCTGTAAAACCCGTACTTGAACAAACAGGAGTGACATAAGATTACCCAGAAACACAGTGGCAGCTATCAGTGATCTATAGAAAATAAATCTATCTGTTTGATAGACCATCATGAGAAATCACGAAATACAATGCTATTTTTCTGATGTGTGCTAATAAAGTCAAAGAAAACAAATACAACTTGACACCTTTGTCCATTTTCATTCAAAAAGTTCAGGGTGTTGGGAATTTAACAAAAAAAAAAAGCCGCCCAGATGCCCTTGGGGTCTGAAGTAGATCTGGATTGCACACGATTGTTTACAGTTTCCTATTGAACTTCTCTAAATCCTGTGCTCAAATACCATCTTTCAGGAACATGACTGCCCCTGGCAGTGGAAGGTGCTGATACAGAAACTTTCACTAAAAAAAAAAACTTTTATCAAGTCCTCTCCACAGTGCTTCTCAGCACAGCTGAAATTCAGTATACTGAGCCCTAATCCGAAGAATCCGGAGTTGCCAGGGAAGCTGATCTAGTTCCAAGTGGGGTTTTTTTTTTTTAAATCTCAAATTAGGAGATAAAAGATCCTGGTCGAGGACCTTCTCCGTTTATCACAGGCCAGTCACAGAACCAGCTCGCAGTGCACTGTTGGGCGACAGTGGTCCCCGTGGAAGTGATCCTTTCCTTCCCCACCTCCAACTCTCCACCACCTACCCCAGGTCTCTTATCACCCCACCATCCTCAGATTTCTGCACACACTGAGGGCTTGAGGAAGCTAGGACACAGGAAAAATGGAGGCAAAAACCATGGAAGACACTGCTTTGCACTGGGTTAGTAAAATACGGACAGGAAAGAGATTATCATCAGTCTGATCTTTGCCAAGTAAGATAAAGGAATCAGCCATCACTCTCAACTCTCCCAGAAGGTTTTACAGTATTCCGGATACATCCAATCTTTTCCCGTAGATTTCTTTTATTCGGGAGAGGTTTCATAAATTAGATCTATGAGAAAACTCATTACTCTGTTTCCTGGG